TCGTTAGAACCGAGAAATGGCGACGACTCCTCATAAATAGCTGATTAAAGTTGTAAACTCAAGCGCGAATAAAGAAGCTGCGCTTTGTCAGACACCTTACTTCTTGGCAACCCTTATCTGATCTTTTTTTTATCACAAGTAAAGGAACCTCTCCTTCGTCTTGATATGTGCAAAAATATCAAATATGGGCCGATTTTCTAGGACAGCCGCAAATGTATGGGACGACATTGGACAGCCAACAGCTGCAGTGACCCAGTGTACCAGTCTACACATTCAGTTGCTATGTGCTTTAGCTAAAAGCATTAAAAAAAAAACTGAAATATTTTTATGATGTGCAGGAATTTTGAGTGAATGTCAGAGGTCAGTCCAGAGAGAGTATGACCAGTGCTAACAAAAATACGATTTTACCGTTTAGCAAACGTTGAACGTAATTGTAAAACAGATTGTTTTTTCTCCTTTTTTTATAGAATAAGGAGGCTGTGGTTGGTTTACTAGTAGTATTTTCTATCAGTTGAAATCAACAAGCGAACTTCAGTGCGAAATTATGACAGTTGGGGTGTCAACAAACGTTTCTTAACAAAACGCAAAAAGCTAGAGAAGGGAAACTGTCAGAACTCACTCAAAACTAGTCAACACACAAGACTCAAGAGTTCATAAAACTTTAACTCCCGCAGAAGTGCAGAGGCGTGCAGAGGCGTGCAGAAGTGATTTTACATTTTACTTGATCAGCTAGTGGACCGTCGGGACGTTTTAGTGTTTTAGACCAGTGCAGCCTTTGACTTTGTATATAACTAAATAGTTATATATTTAAAATAATTGACATAAAATATCAAACAGGAGCAATAATAAGCGATAAAAGCCGAGATGGCTTTTTCAGCTCCGGAAGTCAATGCTTTTCAAATAATCAGATTGGTATTTATATGAATTCCTCTTTTGTTCAGCCTATAAAAGGACACCCTTTCCTCCCAATCCGTCACAACTCTAGTCACACCCACACATATACTCTCAGAGTCAGAGGGCTGGGGGACGTTGTTGACCGTGTTGTTCTATAGAAATTTCAAACAAAAGGGGTTTATCAGCAGGGAAAATAGATCCGTCGCATATTTCTACTTTGTCGTAAATACCCCGCCACAATGCTATCCAGAATTGGCTTTCACAATTTGCGACCGAGGTCGTCCCAAATGTCGTTTATCACGCACTACTATTCCACCAGTGAAAATACTGTTAATATTGCAGAAGATTCTGACGCGTATGACAGAGATGACTTTGACACGCGTCACGGGCCGGGCGGCCAGGGCCAAAGTCAAACACGCCGACATCAGTCGAAAACTAATATACATAGGCATAATGAAGACCCGTTCAGGGAACACATCGGCACCTCGAGGCAAAGTAGTAGTGATAGTAATAGTACCAGACACGTAGACAGTGAAATTATGGCTGGATTAAACTTACAACCTGGAAGTACCGTCAACGGCGAGTCTAGGCTTCGGTCACGAAGTGATGTCGACCGCCGGTCCAAGCCCCCCACGTTCAGGTACACGCCCCAGGCTCTCCTGAGCAACCCCAGTTTCAACAAGGGCACGGCATTCACCGAGGACGAGCGAGAGAAGTTCAACCTAACGGTTAGTTTCGCGTGAGCATAGCTATGTTTTTTTTGAGCTTGGCCTTCGGTCGTTTTTAAAGCGTTCTGTAGTGTGATTGAGTACTCGGCGGTTCGGTGCAGTTGACTGTGAGTTCGAATCTGCATCTGTTGAGTGCAAGAGCTGTTTGTTGCAAGATGCATGTTACCTTTGACAAAGTCGGTTGTTTTCCCTCGTACACACTTTCACAAGATGTAATGCTAATAGTTCACTTGCTGGTCCTCTTACACACGCGTTTCCAATATATCAGGGCGTCATTCCTCCCGTAATCGAGTCGCTTGAGCAGCAGGTAGCACGAACACAGCAACAGCTTGACGGCTTCCCTGTCCCCTTGGACAAATACATCTACCTGGCTGCACTGGCGCGTAACAACGAGACTCTGTTCTACGCAACTCTCTTGAACGACCTTAAGGGCTGCCTTCCTATTGTATACACCCCCACAGGTTAGTACTCACGTGCGATTCACATTTTTTTTTGAATGTAGTTGTGCATGTACGTGTGTAGTTTGTGTGGAAGGCTAACCTCCGCATACATTCCAGTTGTCGTAGCTGATATTTATTAGTTTTATTTGAGATGCATATGCAGCCCAAGCTCTCGTCCTAAACGAACGGTTTGTGAACAATACCCATTTTTTTTTCCAATTACATACATAATCCATTAATCAGTCGGAGAGGCGTGTCAGAAGTACGCGCACATCCTACGCGGTCATCAGGGTCTGTTCATCGATGCTAAGCACCACAAGGGAAAGATTGACACGATCCTCAACAACTGGCCCGTGGATGATGTATGTCGACTTACTAGAGACGCATGAAGACAGTTGTGCTGTGGTTTTGTTCTTCCATTGAACAATGGGACAAGCGATCCTATCATTAGTAGAAATCTGGGTTGGCGGAATTTGCAGTCCGGTTGCTTGATAGTTATGTGTGATTTTGTGCTTTAGTATTATATTTACGTTTGACTATCCTTCTCACTCCACTACACTTCGTATTGGTACCTCGTATAGGTGGATATCATTGTAGTCACCGATGGGTCTCGTATCCTTGGACTGGGTGATCTAGGCGTGAACGGCATGGGTATTCCGATTGGAAAGCTTTCGCTCTATGTATCTGCTGCTGGCCTGCACCCCGCGCGTACTCTTCCCATCACTTTGGATATGGGTACCAACAACCAGGACAACATCAACGACCCTCTCTACATCGGTCGAAAGTATGTATCTGAAGTGTGTTATATGTCATCGCCTATTCCTTCGTTCCTAATTTGTTTGTGCACGAATTCTTCACAGGCAGAACTTGCACTACGGAATCCGCATACGAATTTAAATCCAATGAAGAATGTAGCAGCCGTAGTTAACCAGGAAGGATAAATGAAGATGCTGTGTCACGTTATACCTGTGCACTCCTGCCCATTGCAATGTCGAATACAGTTGTTAGTTTTGTACACAGACAAGCATTGCACCACATTATACTGCAACATACACATTACACCTACACCACCTCAGCTTGAACCTATACACCTACACTACTTACACTCACTCACCCATATATATCTATATATACATACCCACCTGCACTTCCCAGGGAACCACGTGTAGGCGATGAAGAGTTCCACGCCACCGTCGACGAGTTCATGTCCGCCGTCAAGCAGCGTTGGCCCGACTGTCTGGTGCAGTTCGAAGACTTCAGCACCGACCACGCCTTTGAGCTACTAGCGCGTCACCGTGAGCGACAGCTGTGCTTCAACGACGACATCCAGGGCACCGCAGCCGTGGTGCTGTCCGGCTTCATCGCCGCCACACTACAGAACGGCATGGACTTCAAAGACCACCGCTGCTTGTTCTTTGGCGCCGGTAGTGCCGGGGTCGGGGTGGCCGAGCTGATTGTGCAGTACCTACAGCAGCAGGGGTTGACCGCTGAGGAGGCCCGTCAGTGCTTCTGGCTGGTGGACTCTAAGGGTCTGATCACCAGCACGCGTGGCGACAAGCTGCCTGCGCACAAGGTCGGTCTGCAGCGCCACGATGTGCCCGCGGATGAGCAGAAGACTTCTCTGCTGGAAGTGGTGAAGTACGTTAAGCCCACGTGCATGTTCGGCCTGTCCACCCAGCCTGGTACCTTCACAGAGGAGGTAGGTTTGTGTGTGTGTGTGCGTATACAAGTGCGAGCGTATTCTGGTTAGTTTTAGGTATGTATGATAACGGCAAACAATGGCTTCAGCAGAACGAATGAGATCGGTCGAGTTACCGTTCGTAGCTATTGTATTTCTGATCTAGAAGCTATCAAATTTCGTACGCTACTATTCCGTTCGCCACTTCAACTTTCTAATGTTTTGTTCCTTACACCCATTCAACCCAACAGATCTGCAACCTGCTTGCATCGTATAGCGAGCGTCCCTTGATCTTCCCCTTGTCCAACCCCACCAGCAAAGCCGAGTGCACCGCTGAGCAGGCGTATAAGTGGACAAATGGCAAGTGCATCTTCGGTGCAGGCTCTCCCTTCGACCCCGTAGAGCTCAACGGCAAGACCTTCTTACCCGGACAAGCAAATAACCTGTACATATTCCCTGGGCTTGGTTTGGGATCTCTGGTCATTGGTGCTAAGAGAGTCACAGACGAGATGGTTATGGCTGCCAGTGAGACCTTGGCCAAGCTGGTGACCAAAGAGGAGGCGGAGCTGGGTATGGTATACCCCAATCTGGATCGTATCCGTGAAATTAGTGTGTCGATTGCGTCTGCGGTGGCAGAGACTGCCGTCAAACAGGGCCTGGCCAATCCCCTAGAGGAAGGCACTATGGAGGACCTCATGCGTGCAAACATGTACTATCCCAAGTACCACCCCATCCAGACAGACATTGCGCTATAGTAGATCAATGCGTTGGATGCGGTAAGACACGCTACCTGTGCCGGTAGATAGAGGAGAAGCATGCTTACACCTGGTTCTAGAGGGATTCTTGTAGGGATTCTTGTATAAGAGGGTATATATATATCCCTCCAGGGCTAGGTAGCACTTTTTCTGGCGAGCTCGCAGATAAGCGTAGCTATTTACACGGTCACAACGCGTGAGTAAAGTCCAGTGTATGACCAACTAAGAATCATTTAAAACAAAAATATTAGTCAAGGATATTTTAAAATGAAATTAAAAAGAATGATTTACATTACGGTCTACTATTCGAAGCGAGTGTACGTTGACGCTGCAATTCAAGTCTGATTTCATTCACATTCTACTTGCATGCAAACTATAGTAAATGCATCGTGGTGAAATATATAAAAAATTCAAACATATAAGTCATTATGAATACAATCTGTACAAACTAAAGCACAGGAAATGTCATGTATATATATATATATATATACACACATACATATAT